TATTTTTTTTTTTTTTTTTAATTTTCCAACCTATCTAGGAATTCCCCCCACCTACATCCCCCTGGTAACCAACAAAGAAAGTTCCCTTCCATGTATAAACCTTTCCTTAACTTTTTACAATAGTGGACTAGGACAATATTTGTCCTTCTGTGATTGACTTATTTCACGCAGCATAATGTCATCCAAGGTCATCCATGTTCTGTGGTGTTTCATGGATTCTGCATTATTTTTTAGTGTTGCATAGTATTCCATTGTGTGTATGTACCACAATTTGGTTATCCATTGCTCCACTGATGGACACTTAAGTTGTTTCCATCTCTTTGCTGTTGTGAATAGTGTTGCATTGAACATGGGTGTGCATATATCTATTCTTGTTCTGGCTCTCACTTCAGGATATATACCTAGTAATGGGATTGCTGGATCAAATGGCATTTCTATTTCCAACTTTTTAAGGAATCGCCTTACCGATTTCCACAGTGGTTGTATCATTTTACAGTTCCACCAGCAGTGTATGAGAGTTCTAATCTCTCCACATCCTCAGCAGTATTTGTTATTTTCTGTCTTGTTGAACTTTGCTATTCTCTGGTAGCATAGTGCCTAAGGCATTTGACTGGTAACCAGAAGGCTAGTGGTTTAAACCCACCAGCCACTCCTTGGAAGGAAGACTGGGCAATCTACCTCCTTAGAGATAACCGCCTCAGACACTCAAGGAGGGGTTTTTATGAGTCAGAACTGATTCTATAGCAGTGAGTTTTTAACGGCTAATGATCATGAACATTTCTTCATGTGTTTGTTGGCTGCCTCAGTATCTTCTTTGGTGAAGTATCTGTTCATGTCTTCTGTTCATTTTTTAATGGGATTGCTAAATCAAATGGTATTTCTATTTCCAACTTTAAGGAATCACCATAAAAATATATTTTAAAAAGACATAAGAAAGATAATGAAAGATTAAAAAAAAACCCATAATATCTGGGGAATTGGGAATGATAAAAGAGAAAGAATAAAACAATAGTAAAGAAAAAATGGCAAAACTACAAAAGGGAAAGCAAAGAATGGGAAAAACCAAAAGAAAGGAACTGGGAAAAAGGAAGTGGGGGGAGAGAACCAGGGAAGGGAAAGAGGAAAAAAAAAAAAAAAAACTAAAAGGAAGACAGGAGGAAGATAGAATAATTTAAAAACAAACAAAGAAAAACAAAACGGGTGGGAGGAGGTGGACACAGCACCCAGGCTCTGTCAGGGCACAGACCAGGATGGAATTCCTGCTGGTCAAAAAGGTAGGTGGAGGCTACACCTCTGTTTAGCAAGAGGGTGTGGGGTATAAGAGTAACAAGGGGAATATCACACCTTTCTAGTCATCAGCCTCCAGTGCATTTGCCTGTGTTGTCTCTGGCAAGTGGAGCTGATTCCTAGAGTGCCGTCAAGGTCAGAACGCCACTTGGATATTGTTTTGGTTACCCAGTGCCGCTCTGACAAGAATATACCACAAATGGGATGGCTTAAACAAACAGGAGTTTATTCTCTTACAATTTGGAGGCTTTAAGTCAGAGTTCAAAGTGCCAGGCTCTAGGGGCTGGGTGAAAGCCCCTCAACCTTGGGGTCCAGCTCTGCCTTCTGCTCCTGGCCCACTGAAGCTGGAGGCTTTTCTTCACTCAGACAGCTGCTTGCTGCTGAGGCTGATAAAACTGAAGTCGACAAGTAAAAAGGCACAGTCCCAATTTTACCAAAAAACACAGCAGGCCACTAATTCAAGTCCACTGAAAGTCCCAAGATTGGCAGAGCATGGGAGGCTGATTAACAATGACTCGGCTACATGCAGAGTTCAAGTGTACCATAAGCTAGAGACCATTCCCAAAGCTGCTGCTTATATAC